TCGCAAAGAATGAAAGAAGTGTCGCAAAAAAGTGCTAAACCCGTGCATTCACGTGTCATAGTCATTACTGGTGGGGTTTTAGCGTTTAGGTGCTCAAACAATCTTAAGAGTGAATAACTAGCATGCATGATTATTACAATCTAATAAGTCTGCCTACTTCACTCTTTAGATAAAAATGAATAAACTTAGGATCGAATTCTGACATCAATTATGGGGAATATTAATTTTGGCCAAATCGGCTGTAAGCGGGAGGCTGATTTGGAATGAACAAACCAGAGTTGAAATGTGTTGTGTGCTTAGATAGCAGTGGAATATAGGGAAAGCGGTACTCTGCACTCGGCAGAAGCCGGGACGTGCGGCTGAGGGCGGTGGGTCGGAGGCTTCGTAGGAATGCGGCCGCTCCCCCCGCATCACCCTCCACCGCCGCCTGCCGCGCCAAACATTATTTATGGACTTTGTAAACTTTAATCACAACTTTCAGATTCCTTTCAAACTTAGAGAAAAGCTCTCATGACACGCGAAAGCAAGAATTCGTGCTAACTGATAACTGGGACAGAACATCTGAATTACCGTTTTATTTATACCCGACTTAAAAAAAAGAGGAGACTTTGGAATATCTTTTTCTACATAATGTATTAAATATAACTATCATTTTGTATTGTTCGCTAGTTAACTAATAAATAGTAAGCAAGTCGTAAGCCAAGTCAAATAATTATATATTGGATATGTGATATTAACGCCTGCAGTTAGCTTGAAACGGGATTTTTGTCAAATTTCCGATAGACCGTTTGTATTGAAAGAATTTTAATCGCCGAGAGGTAAAAATTAAAATAAACCATAATCAGATATGATGCGCGTTAAGGCGTTTTCTGGCAAGGAGGAGGTAATATAAAATCGACAAAACGGCTCTGCGTGGCCGTGGAAGGAGCGAACGCCGACACATTCCCGAGGCTTGAATCGTAAATTACGGCAGCGCGAGCGGCGCCGGCGCCGGGAGGAGAGCGCTTGTTACGATATTTGAACAAATTCCCGGCGGTGTTAATCTGCATAATAACAGCGGCGGATACAAAGCGGTTGCCGACTCCCATTATGCGCGGGCGCCACCCCCTCCTGCGCCCGCCCCTCCGCGCTCCTCCAGGCACACAGCGCCCGAATACCTATACGTGATTACCCACACCAACTACGGTGTTAAATCCACCGCCTTATCGCTTGCCATCGTAATGAACGACCGCTCCGACTTTTCATACGGATTATTTATGAAAAATATCAAGTGATGGATAACGTGTAATTTAAAAAATCGGACCATGAGTAGCGTTTTAATTTACACGAACTGTTGTTCCGGTGGTTAATAATAATTACGATACTGACACCTACCATTGGCTTAATTGGGTAGATTAACTTTTTATGTCCCTGTCATAATTTTATTTCAGCGGTTATATTGATACAGGTGCCATTAATAAATGAGATAGGTCGCGCTAGCCGACTCATGCCGAGTAACATTTAAGGAAAAGAGAAGAAAGTTTATTGACGTTGCAAATTTATGCAGGGTTCGATGCGCTACAAAAATAATTAAACAAACGTTAGCTCGTTAAAGAAGGTGCAATTATGAGTGTAATAAGCGGGAGGGCGATAACAAAGGAAACGTCGAGTGGAGTGCTATCTCGTAGCCTCGTTACCTGCCATTACGCGGAGCGGACGCCCGGCCCAACTAACTAAATCGAACCTACACCCCTGCACCGCGCCGCGCGCCGGCTCTCACAAAACGCTATCGCAAATGTACAGCTTAATATTATTGCGAATTCTTTTGTATTTCGGAGAGGCTTTAATTAGGTCATAATATTGACTTGACTGTTATTTGTTTAAACAACACCATACACAACACATTTCAAAAATGTTAAAGTTATGTTAAATGGGTTTATTTTGTAACAGATCTACGTTTATGTAATCTAAAGTTTGCATTAGTATATTACATAGTCGGTAGATCCGTGTGGCGCTGTAGCTATTAGCTCTGTGAATCAACCATACATAATACCGAACTAAATAGTCATCTATTGAATCACACGGTGATTATAGACTTGTGGATACGTTTTATTGTGATTATGAAAACTTCGTCTCGCCAAGCTAGCAACACGAGTCTTAATAGACACAACAACGGTGAATTTCTAAAACATTCTAGGAAACTGTAACAAATGAGAATAGTTGGAATCTTTCGAAAAGATCGGTAACGTCGCCGTCGCGTACATTAGTGAGAGGTGCCAATATTTAACAGTTATGAATATGCTCGGGAGGCACCCACGCGTCAGTATAGACGACGCGACAAATCGCCAAGGTTGACTTCAATGATACGGCGCGCGCCGCCGGATTTTTCAGTGAAATAGTTTCATCGGGCGGTTTCGGCGGCGGTGACGGCAACGTCTGCGCCGGCGCGCCGGTCGATGCCCCCGCGGCCACGCGATTTGGCTCCACTCGACGCAACTACTAATCAAACGACGTTGCCAATACAGTCGTTTTGCGACTCCAGCGTATCCATCGACAGGCCACACACAGTAACATCTCTACACATATCTGTTCTCTTCATTCGTGTGGTCAGAACTAACACATTATATACCTGTAGACATCAGCCAACCGTCTCGTGAACAAAAACGAAAGTAAAAATTGTTTCAAACATATTTCACAATAAGCAGTCTCGACGTTAGACGAAACAAAGCACTAAACGTTTCATAATGGATTGGCAAAATGAACTCTAATCTATATCGCAATCCTCATGCCAGAAGGTAAGTAGGCGTGTGACGACTCATGCCAAACATTCGATGAGACGTAACGAGACAATTCTCGACGGCCTTTTCGTAAACGAAATTATATATTTATTTATAGTTCGTAAAAACTAAATGCGGTTCGGTGACAAACGTGATTAATGTAGCGCCCATCGGACAGAATGCTTATTATGTATGTTCAATTATCGATATAAATTAGAGTCAAGTTGGCGCAAGCGACTATTGTTAACGCCGAGTAGCGGGTCCGATGCACAAGCCATAGTGCAGCCGTAGACGGCTAGCTGCATCCCGCTCGCGCCCACAACTTATCAATGAAATGCCTGCGCAGCCGCCGCCGCAACGGTGCCTCGCGTTCCTTCTTCTGACGTAACAAAATGGCGGACAACAAATTTACGTAGGTACTTATCCTATTTAAGTATCTACAAAAAATTTGCTAGCAAAGTTAACAATACTTGCAATATGCGCCATTAAATAAACATAATTCCCGAGAATTAGTGAATTTGAAGTGTCATGACTACGAAATTACGTTCCAAAGAACAGTTACACAGCACAATAGATTATTAAGAAACGATGGTGTTCTTACATTGCGTTCTTGTACTGCACATAGTCATTAAATAAAACATCTTATATCATCCACATGCTTGAAATAAGGAATTTGGTTTGTGATTATTGTAACAATGTAAGTACCTACTTATTATCAAGATTAAAAAACAGTTAAATGTTATCTTTATACAAAATACGGTATTAGTAGCGCCATCTACATTTAACATTTCAAAGCAACAATCAGACTTGTATTCTTGAAACTAACCAGGCTACAAAAGTACCTATAGATCACGCTAGGTGGTAGCACTGAGCTCAACTGCTGCGTTTTATTGGCTGAAATTATCCTCTTACTTAAGTAGATGGCGCTGAAAGCAAATGATTAACTGAACCGTTTTGATATTATTGTACTTACAGTAGATTGTAGGCAAATATATACATTAAATAATCTCCGTTTTTTGAAGTCAGTTAAAAACAATGGTGGTTGATTTCAAGCAATGTTAACCTTATATTTGGCGAATATTTTATTTTGTATAATGGGGCCGTTCAAGTATTACGTAAGCACCATGGGGGTGGGGGGGTCTCTGTTTTGCTTATTTAGGATGATATGGGGGCAGGGGAGTCTAGATGATGACCGACAAAGAACTAGACATTATGGTATCTAAGACAATATTAAACTTACAATATAAAAAAGATATAATTTAAAATGTTTATGTAAGCAAAGGGTGAGGGGGTAAGATCTTTGCTAACTTTTGCTGACAAGGGGGACGGGGGGACGGGGGGTAAAAAATTGTAAAAAATCTGCTTACGTAATATTTGAACGGCCCAAAGATCAATTTCGGTGTGCGTTATATTATAAATGAGATTTACAATCGTGATGCCGAACCGAATTAATAAAAGTCGCATGCAATTTTACTAAACTTTTCGATTTAACATTCATATGGTTGTAGCCTCTTAACTGGTGTCAAAAATTTAAATTAGCTTTGATGTATACACTTGCGAGGTGACAAAATAGTAATTGAGAGCCTAATCATACTGTATATACAGGCTGTCCTTGTACGTATGGATCAAACTAAACCAAAGGGCGTGGGGCATGTAATTGCCAAACTTTTCCGTTTGCAGATGTCGTCGGTGCAATTCTTAAGGGTTCAAAAGATATGCCTAAAAACGCTCACAAACAGAAACAATTGGTGGTTATCAACATATTCCGTACTAAAATTATACCGTGTTAGATATTGTACAAGAGAAGGGATCGTCCATTTTTTTGCACAAAGCCCATAAAAAAATTACTTAATTTTTAAATGATAGTCGTGGAAACGACACGAGGTAAATTGGTCACTGTTAAAAACTCGCCAGTTTTTAGAGTTGGCCATTTGTATTAAAGAGTAGAACTTTACAGTTTCATAGATTTTATACTTTCATTTATTTGAACTTAATTTAATTTTAACAGTACGACTGCGACTTAGTTTGGATTAAAGAAAAAATTCTTAATAAATAATTTTGTTATTTCTCTTTTATGTAAAAGTATACTTCAAGGTACACGGGTACCTGTACAACATAGAATTTAAAGATATTTAATATTTCTACAAGTTTTGTGTATAGCTTTTTTAATTATATAATAATTTTGTATTATATAATAATAATTTTAATTCATTCATAGATTTATGAGGTAGTTTAGGTACTGACCTTGCTGTGTGGAATGACGCATCGTCGGACGAGCCGGCGGCGCCAAAGGACACGCCGACAGCGAGTCCTTCAGGTATATTATGAACGGTGATCGCAACTACTAGAAGCATAATACGCTTCCACTGCGATTGCCGCGCCTCAAGCGTCCTCGTGACGCTGTCACGACGGTCACCTTCGCCGTTCTCACCAACTTTCTGAAATTAACAATAATATTTTTATCAACATGAGAACAATAATGCGCCAAAATATATCACACAATTCCACGGAAGACGACATAAACTCCATTTTATTGCGTGTAAAGATTAACAATAATATATTTTCATTATTACAAGAGTTCACACTATTGTTAAAAAAAGCTGTTGTGTGAACATCGAAAAACTATAGCAACAGACTGGCTATATTTAAAGAAAAATAATAGTGTGTAGGTACACATATTTCCTACACAGCCTACCTTTGCATAATATACTTCATGTTCATATTGTGATAAGATCATAACAAGTTACTTTGTTGCATTAGATTTATTTATTATTCGTACGTTTAGAAACAAAACAAGACAAATAGCAAGTGCCGTGTTCGCATAATCTTGTATGGGATATCCTGTCTTTTAGACCAGAGTTGATTGCTGAGTCGTAACTACGTACGACAGCGCAGACGTACTACGGGCTACAAGTTACGTACTACGCGCTACGACCACGGTGCTGTTGGCTACGCACTACGCGGCAGGATCTACGCGCTACGAGATTTGCAATATGTACTATGCGCTATGAGGTACGTGCTACGACGTTTCCGATACAAGCTACTCGAGCTACGGGTTACGAGATTTCCGATACAATATACTCGAGGTACGGGTTACGTACATACGCGCTACGAACTATGCGCTACGCAAAGACTAAGAGGTACGAACTATACGCTACGTGCTACGCGCAACGTGATACAGGCTACGCGCTCTTCACGACGCTCTGCATGGTACGCGCTACATACTAGGAGCTACGTAATATGCGCTACAAGGTATTTGCTACGACATACGTCCTAAGAAGTATGCATTACGTAGATACTACGTGCCACACGCTACGTATTATTCGCTGCAGGCTACGCGCTCCATCCAATGGCCTACGAGCTACAAGCTACGTGGTATGAGCTACGCGCTACGTATAACGCACTACGAACTACAAGTTATGTGGTACGAGCTACGCACTACGTACAACGCCCTACGAAGTACATGCTACAGGCTACGTGGTACGAGCTAAGCGCTACGAAACTACTCGCTACTCGAGAAAATTAATGTGAAATATAAAATTAAGCAGCAGTATTCGATGTCTTGTTGATGACACGGACTCTAAACGAAACGTCTAGGTTTATATCCTTAGGATGATATATTCTTGGACACATAAATGGCAATATACTCGCAAATAATAGAGAGACAACATAAAATAAGCAAACTGGTGGAAAAGTTGAGTTTATATTCGGTTTCGCCTTTCCTTTGGATGTTCACACAGAATATCACGAGATTCACCAATATACAAAGGACAATTAATTATGGTATATTGTGAACAATCTATGGAAAGGAAATCAATGGAAGTCATGAATGACTTTGTTCCATAGACTTCATATAATTTCTAAAAGGCCAACCGTGGGGCTTCTTCATTTTCTCGTTTTGAGACTAAAAAAATTATTGACAATATTGTTTAAAGTAAACATAATTATGTATAAAGTATTTTTTGAACAGAACAATAATTCTATTGAACAATTCTATAGGTATAAATTGTGACTGTGATTCAATATTAGACGTAAAACTACAATAAAATAGTAAACTTATTTATTTAATAATATAAGATCCGTTAGACATTTTAAAAATTCTAAGAGCGCTGTATCTATAAGGTAAGGTGCGCATATTAAAAATGTGTACCAGATTTGTTGATCATTCGTAAGCGCCAATTAATTGGACAAACTAGTTTTTATTGATATTTTAATACCATTCGGATATTTATTATGACGTGCGTATCTGGCCTAAAATTTGAATAGCCAAACTCAAATCTAAAGGACCTTGCAGTTCGAAGGTTTTCCTCAAGACTACTAAGTTTAGCTTCTTATAACGTCCTAGGTTACTGAATTAATACTATGTTGTATAAAAGCATTTTAATACTTGGAAACACCTGGATGGAATTTCATTATAATTAAATAATATATTATATTAATATATAGTTAAATTATTCGATATGTTAGAATCATCTTAAATATTTTTATTGTTTTGGAGAGTTTCTTAAAATAAGTGTAATACTTTAAAGAGTAATAAAGAAGGAAAATTGTCATACAAGTCAGTACCACCACGATGTAGCTGCGACTGCAATTTACCTATTTATGAAGACCGACGAGGAAAATTATTTCGAAAGTTCAAATCACCTACAAGTAGTGACAAGGTTGCACGCAGAGTCATCGTTTACAACAAAATTGTCAGTCTATTGAGGAAAACGATAGATTAAAAAAAAACTAAATTGTTCTACAAATCCTTCATTCAGAAACTATTTCCACTTCGTAAAGAACTGACCGTTTAATCCATTAAACGTACGAATGTAAATAAAACTATTATAATAACTGCGTCAACATATGCAAAGAAGCAACTAAACTAAATTACTTATACAAGTTATCAAAATATTAATATTCAAGGTGAAAATGTAACCTATAAATAGGTACTTAACTATACGGGAGTCACGATACTCACGATAAGCTTACATACAAATACAAGTTGTTGCTTCGAAGACCTACTGCATAAGTGCTACTTCGTAAGTCAATATTTAGTGTGTTATGGACTTGCCAGCGTCTAAACTACATGACCTACAGTTTCCGTATTAAAATTATTAGATGTTAGACGCCACTTTAGGGGCCGTTCAAATATTACGTAAGCATATTTTTTACAATTATTTACCCCGCCAACCCCCTTGTCAGCAAAAGTAAGCAAAGATCTTACCCCCTCCCCCTTTGCTTACGTAAACATTTTTAAATATATATTTTTTATATTGTAATTTTAATATTCTCCAAATACCATAATGTCTCGTTCTTTGCTTTTAATTTATAATTTCAATATGAGGGTTGCCATTCGTGTAAAAAAGTAAATAACTACCGATGACGTGATCATCATCTAGACTCCCCTAACCCCCATATCATCCGAAATAAGCAAAACAGAGACCCCCACACCCCCCATGGTACTTACGTAATACTTGAACGGCCCCTGATTCGCTTTAACATGTGGTGTGAACAAATGTATTTTCTTAGTTCTTTCTTTTCCAGTTCTGATTGACCTATTTGACATAATTGACTTACAGACAGGTGTTCATTTATCTAAAGTTTCGCATTTATATTGAGTATGTAGGTATTGATCGATCAGTTTGCATGAATATTCTGTAAGTACCTATACTCTATTTTTAAATGGGTAAATTTATCCAATGATTTCTCCCGCCTTAGGTGAGGCGAGAAGGAATGTCAGACTTTTACTGACTAAAAGTACCCCGTTGCTACTCCTACTTCGAGTCGGAGCCCCGGCAACCCACTAGGTTGTCCGCAGCTCCAGCGATACTTATACTCTGTGACATCAGGTTCTTACGGCTACATAATACTTTTATGGTCACAGGTTTCTTATAAAACGTGAATGAGTGATCGGCCGACCGAATCCGTACGTCTGGCGTTTGTCTTTCAAGCTTTTATGACGTGAACATATAAACACGTTTTTGCACCGAGTCGCGCGATTCGAGCACCGACGCTATTATCAAAAATATGACCTAGAGAATTAAAATAGATTTTAATAAAATATTGATAATCGCAACACTGATGAGTGTACATAAAAATTATTACTGTAGTACCTATAGTACAGGTTGAGGTGTAGTGCCATCCACATCAAATTAATTGCAATATTATAAAAGTAGATCCTTAGTCCTAAACCCGGTCAAGGCAAGATTAAGGAAGACTACGTGGTCGACTGAGCGATAGTAGATAAAGTAAGGATATCCGATTCAATGTTTAATCCAGTACTCTGATTGGTATCTATCGAATTGAAAAATTCAGCCTGACTAGACTTGCTGCAATTTCCCAAAGTTCTCGCTAGGTTGGCACCCCACAGGAGCACCTTCCGCGATTTGGCTTTTTCGTTTGATTTATTGCCCAGGCTTGGGACATTAATTTAGAGACTACTGCAAGGTTTAGAGCGGATAAATAATGAACAGCCTTGTATATAACCAGTGGTCCTATCCAAGAAAAAATATTTTAGAAGTAGTGTGTTACCAGTGAGTGGTGAGAGTGGTGGTGGCCCCTGCGCCGCTGTGCGGTGTGCTGGTTGCTGATGCAGTCGGCGAAGTCTCCCGGCTGCTGCGGGTCCATGGTCACCACACTAGTGTTGTTCGACGGCCGCCTGTTCAGCGCCGTCATCATCTCCAAGTCTTCCAATTTCTCCTTCGAGTCTTTACTCTTTGTTATAGCTGGAATTCACAACATGCCCCATTAAATTTCATATTTAAAACCTTATTTTAAAATCATACGATTAACTATAGTTATGTAGTCACTCAACCCAAATACTGTTAAATAAATAAACATTGAAATGCGAAATTCACCAAATCATTAACTTTATTTGATAGGTAAATATAATAAGGTAAACTTTGTGGTCTATGTATAAAGTCAAGTAAAAATCATTTAAGACGAAAGAGCATTGGCTTTTGTCGCCCCTCCACGAAGCGAGCGCGAAATAAGTGCATACTCGTCCGAGATAGATAACACGGGCTTTTATTGACTTTCGCTTGTCAAGCTTCAGGGGTTTAACAGCTTGAAGAGCACTCAGGTCATTGTATTTGTATGCGTTATATTACGTCATACATACATGGGTAGTTGAACCAAAACCCAACGTGTAACTATGACAATCCCATCGTAATAGGAAGCAAGCCTATTGTGAAACACCATGCATTACAGGTATTTATTTTTATTAGTACCAACAGATTTAATTAAACTTTTACATAACGGTAACGCCTTGTTGAATTGTATCGTTTCATGTTATATTTGAGTAAGTAAGTACGTTATCGCTTTTGAATTTTATCTTCACGCGATCGTGGTTTTCAACACGTTCCCCGTAGTCATACAATCATAAAATATCAGAATCTCAAGGCATTATATTTGTTCGTGTGCATAATGAGTTACAAACTCAGTTCGCTTCAATACTATTATGACTGTTATTAACTACTAACTCCCGTAATATAATACTATTTAGTTAATATAAATTGTACTGTTTGTATATAGTGATAACAAACTACCATTGAGTTTAGATATATAAGTTAGTAGCTCAGTCTTACAGATAACATAGGAATCCTTTGTATAAAGTTTCTGAGAGTTTAAAATCAAAAAGGTTCACGTAAACCATAACATAATAAAAAAAGATAAGAGATACAACTATTTAAACAAGGTAATCTTTGATTACATACTCAATATTTCCTTGATCGTGGCAAAGTTTTGTAAAAAGAACACGAAATATAATTTATACCGTATTCTTTGAATTAACATAAAATGAGGAAAATGTTAAGCACTAGTTACACGAGTGGGCTTTTTGTGGGCTCTGGGGATTTAATAAAATTATAAAGGAAAGATTATGGTTTTATAATAACTACTTCTATGAAATCGACAACAACAAAAAGTGTTGTTGTTATCGACTTTTACAAATTTTAAATCAAGAAATGAAATAGTTGCTCAGGATATTTTGATTTCAACATTTGTTTACTTTTATAGTCCTGTTTGTTGTAATTACATTTTAGATTCCTAATAAAATAATCTGGACCGAAACGTTATTTTATAATTACCATGAACGGTTCAATATCAAATATAAAATACTATACGCTGAGTATATTGAAAGCAAGTAAAGTCCTCTTGAATCTAATTTATCTCCTACAAATCAATAAAGTTATCTGTTCAGCATTTGTGCACATACATTTCTCCAGTACTCAACGACGTTTACGATATCGGACATCGGCCATAAATTAATATATTACAGTTTTCTTGGTCCTGACTTATTGATTACTGTAAAGGCTATTAAAATTTATTATCTACACAGCATTTATCGTAAATATAGTAATATTAAAAATTAATATTAGTTGCCGATGACATTCATCGTTTGTCAACAGTTTTACGAGGATTTGTATTTTATATATTTTGTAAAATTAGAAATTTTAATAAGTAACAGCACTAGTAGTAACAAATTGTTTGATATAGGTAGATTTGATGACTAGCTATTTTGAATGATAGACGCAAAGAGAATATAACTTCTAGCTAGAAGTAATTATCCAAAGACTAATATAATAGTTAGGTATATTTTCTTTCACTCATTGTTCCCAGTTGTTCTTTTATAACAGAAAACCTAACAAGAAATATAAGAAATATCAAATATATACTTGAAATTATAAGTGTCTAAACAATTCGCAGAATTTTTATTAAGTAGGGGAACACCCGAGCATGTTTAACTAAACTAACGTCGAGTACCGGTTTTGTAGACACAATTAAAGAACAATAGGTTGCGGTCACCGGTGACCGCTTGGTGTTTGACAGTTTAAATGGCAACATCACGTATTTATAAAAGACGAAACTATTTTTGATAAATCTACATATATACATGTCTACCTACAAAATTACACAGTGCAGTTTAAATTGCAACAAAACTTCCTTATAATCACAAACAAAAACAGGTTTAATTTTATAATCAAGTAACATTTTTTGCAAGTAACTAGGTACACTGGGTACGTTACTTTAGTGCGCAAAATGTACTGTTTTTTACTGTTTCATTCGCGTTACTGTCGGGATTACTACCTAGTTTTGGACTCGAAAACTGGTTGGTCAATCCCTCAACATACTTTGAACATATATCGACGTTACTGTATGGAAACAGGTTTTAGTTCCATATTTTACATATTTACGAGTACCTTTTGACGAATTTTCTAACGTATACATTGTCAACTCAGAACTTATTTACTACTCTCATTTCTCATAGATAAGTCTTACTAGACTGCCTCGTTGGCCGAGTGGTCGCAAGTGCGACTGCCAGCCAAGGGGTCTGAAGGGGGGGTTCGATACCCGGGTCGGGCAAAGCATTACTGGGTCTTAAAAAAAAACTCAGTAGTAGCACGGTGTCTGGAATTGTGCCCGGTATATGGCAATAGGCTCACCCTCTGTTACATGGGACTCATCACAAAAACAGTGAAAAGTTGGTGTTACTTCTGTGTGCACCTCTGCCTACCCCTTCGAGGAAAAAAGGCGTGATGTTATGTTATGTTAAGTCTTACTAGACAATATTTTAAATGCATAAACATCGTTAAAATTCTTCGAACTAAGGGACATACGCAGAACTATTCTTATTTTCTTTTTCTGTATTAAAAATATTTAAATTCACAACAGCTAATAAATAATTAATATATGAGTATAGGAAATATATTAGTTTATACTACGACTACTCACAACAATATTTCATGTAAATTGTTAAGGAATTAACGGAGACCGGAAGATACGTGTAGGTAAATTAAATTATAATGCGCGTCCACATTATTATAATTTATAAATAAAATCATTGTTAATTATTTACTGCAGACAATGTTTTGTCTTGGCGATGGATTTAAATACTCATAATTATAAAATCATATTTAAGATTAACGCGTAGCTTTAGTAAGGTTGGACCAGCTGACAGAATATTATAAGTACTTATATGCAAATTGTTATGTTTTTTTTTAAGGGGGGAATATCATCGAATGACTGCTCCCGCCTGGGTGAGGCGGGAGGGAGTGTGAGACTCTTACTGACTAAAAACCACCCCGTTCCTTGTCCTGCACATCGAGCCGGAGCCCCGGTTAGATACCCGTTAGGTTCTCCGCGACAAATTGTTATGATATTGGCAGTACTTCTAGATAAATACATAGAAACAATAGTCGCGTATTTCGTGAAAAGTGCCAACAATTAATTTGGCTGACGCGTATGAGGGCAAAGGTAATGATGACATGATTCGTATGCAATGTTAACACTTAAAATTTGCCAAAATTTCATATGAAGGTTATTGAGTGTCGAAAAGCAGGTTTAACGTGTTCTAGAGTTTGTTGAATCCTTTACTCTTCTTGTTGTACACAGAGGTGGGAATGTTAGTCGAAAGTCTACGCCCTTCGTAAGGTCGATGATGATTTCTTATTTGATCTTGACATGTTGTGTCAATACCTCAAAACTGACTTGCTTTTAAATAATCTTACACTTTCAATTGATTTTCCACTTCGTTTAAAGTGCCTAGTTTTTAAGTGTGAAACTAATCGTTGCATGGGCTGCAACAACAATGAATTAAACGCATGCACCATAAAGATAACAGATTTTATGTCCCAGATTGGAATATGTCGCACAACCACGGAGATACAATTACTTATTATTTATTACTATGCCAATGCTAGAGATATAATCAGAATTAGCCAATTATGTGTCATCACTTCATCAGTCATTACTCACCCTTAAAATAATATTCTAGGTAATTTTCTATTAATTGTTATTTATAAAAATCCCATGAAACTTTACTATTTTTAGTTTTTCGAAAGAAAACAGGAATTCAGAAATCTTTAATTTTTTTTACGCTTTGTAGTTATAAATTAGTTACGCGCGTATTTATTTGTTGCAGATTGTAAGTTAGTTGTGAAATTCTATTAAACATTTATTCTTTAGAGAATGTAAAATAATTCCTTATAACTAATAATTGCTTTTAGTTTTTATGTATTAGCTACTTATCATACTTTTTATAAGCATAACTTTACAAGAAGTCTTATAACATCATATTTACTAAGGCCCGAGTTCTAAACGCAATATGAATTATAACCAAGGAATAAATTTAAATATTAGACAATTCTTGGATACAATAAACTGTCAAATGTCAATTTTATTGTATAGTTAAGAATTAACGGATCATTGAAAATCGCCCCTTAATAACAAACAAATAGATTACTATAATAATATAACTCCTGTTGTGATCTAATAGGAGAACAAAGGTCTAAGAATTCAGTAATTTGTTGCTTGAAACAGCTAATTTCAAGAACTACTGTTATCAATTAATATCAGGCTGTAATAGGAGGCTGTAAGTTTAAGTACCTAATTTTAGTAGCAAGTCTGGCCATTAGTAATTACAGAATTATGATTCATATGAATCAAAAGTAGTTTATGAACTTGAAACATGCACCATAATCATAATAGGTAGTCCATTAACAATATTATCAGATCCATCTAGGGCATATTGTAAAATGGCACACCACTATTATAATTTATAATTCTGACAAATATGATAATAAATCGAAGCATTTTGACTATAAAATTAAAAATAATGTTTCACTAAATATAGAAAAGTATTTAATTGATTAATCAATTTCATTGACTCTTTCCCTTATTATGTTTTAAAAATAAAGGTCAAGTCTAGCAAAAAATGTCAAGTTATTGCCTATCTAATCTAAAATAATGTTTTCCTTTAGATAACAGGTACTTCACAATATGTAGATAAGTAAATATGTAAAAAAATGTGATTGAATAAATTATTTATGAATCCCTATCAAGGTAAATAGATTCTTGAGACATTACAAAAAACTTGCCACTGTAAAAAAATACATTCATTGCAAAACAAGCAAAAAGTTTTGATACAAGTCACTGTTGTGTTAAGTTAATAAGATACAAGACTAGTTCGGACCAGCGACAGTTACAGTCATAAACCTCAGAATTCAAAGACCATATTGTTTCTCTTTAATTAGTTACTGCTACTGTTACTATGGGTATTTTAAAACAATTAAAATGTAGATACCTATAATCATTTCCCCAAAATCTATCTTGAACATATTTTGTACTATAAATAAGTAGTCCTTCGATAAAACTACATGGAAATTGTCTTTTTTTAATGCTTTATCTGTTTTCTATTAAATAATTCATGAATTTTTTATCCATCAAATGGTAATTTACTAGATTTGTGGATTTTTTTAAATAATTGTGAATAAGTTGCAAATAAAAAGTAATGACAAAGACACAATAGAAAATAAATTGTGCATTGTGTGGATCTACATTTAGGCACACAACAGATTAAGGACCTGTTTCACAAAGTCTAGATAGCCGCTGTGTGACAAATTAATTTGAATTAACTATATAATTAGTATATACATCTGCCTCCTAAGTTTATCAGGTAGGTACTTACATGAAGGTGGTGGTAATAAAAACTATATGTCTCTGATTTGTTTTAACTTCTCTATATAGGTATCTAGTCTCTTATTTGATTATACACGGCCAGTATCAAAATAATTATGTGTTGCTAATCAAAAGCAGTTTAAAAATTACTAAAGGTCACCTACAAAAAATTTGGTATGCTATAAACTTTAGCATAATTAACATAAATAATGCATGTACAATGAACACAAAAAGTTAAGCCTTGCAAAATAATACCAATCTGAAATCATTGGCGGTAACAAACTTCTTTGGAAAAAAAAATATTAATATTGTTTCTTATATGTTATAGCGTCTTCTGTGACTAACTCTTTCTTTGAACTTATAAAGTAATATATAAGAAGAAAGCAATTATATTAATTTTGTTGTAAACAACTTTACAATATACAAATAACATGATATTCAAGTACAAGAATATCAAACTGAAATCATTCAGAAATAAACAAATGCCATTCAAAAATAGACACAAAAGATCCAACAAGTGAAGCTCAGAGGCAGAGTAGTAATTGCTTAATTGTTATTTTGCTTGAAGGTTGCTCTATGTCTGTATATTTATGTAGGTGCATACAAATAGTAGGTACCTATGTGTGTGGGTACATGTAATAATCATTATTGTATCCAAAGTAAAAGTAAACACTATTATTACTCACTTATCATCATTCCAGTCGAGTTTATTCCTAAATAATCCAGGAACTTATCAGTTCCAAATACAAACACAGCTCCAAACAAGAATCCAAAGGCCACTGGTACGAAGGCATACTGGCCCTCTGATCCATAAATATTTGATCTTTTACACATGTTTATAGCTGGCTCTAGGAGAGACCAGTAAGACGCTGCAGTCATCACACCCGCCGCAAAGCCCAATGACACGTCAAGTAATTTTCTCTAAAAAAATAATAACAAATCAATAAGCTTCCGTCCATATCACTTCTTAGAAAACTTTCACGAATTTAAGTGTAAGTAATAACAAAAACTTACATGTTTTCCTCTTATAAAAAACACACAACCGGCCCCCACAGCAGTTAATCCCCACGTCAGTAGGGTCCCTAAAAGGGCCTGTGTTACTGCACCGTATCCTTCTATCATTTTGTAATATTTATTTCTAAGTAAACAATTATAAGTTAAGTACTTGTTATCACATAAACATTTTATGTGCACGAATTTCTAAACTAACACGAACTTCACCACCATATTATCGACGAGACTCGCGACTTAAATCTTTTTATACATTCCACATGTTTTTATCGGAGTTATGACCTTGTGATGTGACAGATTTTAGACACAGATAATTTCGTTCAAAACTGTTAGTGTCAAGATATAATGTTACCAGTGTAGAAAAATTAAAATAAACACCGTTATTTCTCGCACGTTGTCTTTAAATTAGTTTTCTGCTTTACAGTAAAATTACATTCTTGATTAATAAAATACTACAAAATACAAAGCTTGGATTATCTTTATTTCCTTTCTCTATAAATAATTGTACGAATTGCGGAATTGCGGATTTATATTTTATTGGAGTATATAGTTCAGAAACGAATTTATCACAGATACATAAAGTGCAGAGAATTTATAACTGTTCTGAATTAGAGTTTGTTTCATAAACAAAATAAAAACAGTATTGTCTAAAGGTAAAAACATAACCTCACGCCTGTCTCCCATGGGGGTAGGCAGAAAATGTGGAACGCCAATTACTACGATAGTAATACTTCAGGAATTATTTAATCTTATGCAATTTTGTTATGGAATTACCGATAAACGATCAGACGGATCGCTTGAAGGTAAGCAATCGGCCATGGACACCCAGAACACAAGTTACAAGTGCGTTACCCACCTTTTGATAAGAAATTTAAGGATTGTTGGATTGGGATAGATACTTGGGAAAGGTGGAGAGGGGTTATTTGGGCCTCCGGTAACCTCACTCACACGACGAAACCTAACGCAAGCGTTGTTTCTCGTGAGGCCGTACCGAAGCATGGCTCTCCAACACTTAAAAATTAACATTAGTACGCTGCTAGTTTATTGACATCTTGCGCATGTTATGCAAATCTGTGATAATTTAAAAAAAACGATTTAAAAATATTTTTTTAATTAGACTCGTATATAGTTTTAACGTATTAACTTCATGATTCAATTCCTACTAAAAAGTGTATTGCACCCTGTTCATGATATTTTCAGTACAACATAACTATGCGTAATAAAACACACGGAGACATTTTAAAATGTTGTCATTATTGATATCAAAAAGCAAAAAGCAAAAAGATCGTTTTTAACTCTACATGCTCAGCGCTAAAACTATAATACATAGATTCAAAGTTCTACAGCCGTAGCTCGTAGCGCGCAGTTCGTAGCGCGTAGTAGCGTTGTCTTGCTATTAATTTCATAGGTGTGCAAGCCAGTGTAATACTTCTCAATGCGTATAATTATGAGGTAAATTCACTAAAGCCATCAAAAGGGAATGGATTTCAAAAAACGGTAAGTTGTAGGGGAAAGAATATTTATGGTATTTTCCCTTAACTCGTTGAGTACCGTACCGGTTGCGGTCACCGGTGTCCTCGCGGTGTTTGACAGTTTAAATAAAACCGTAACCATCACTTACGGCTACGGTCCACGTTCTACTCGATCAACAAAACAGCCGTAAGTACCTACACACCTACTTAATAGGTGAGGTATTTATTTGATTAAGTTATCAGAATTTAATGCAGTTTTAACTGAATGTAATTGTTTTGTTAATTTGTATTTTGTATGCTTAGTTTTATATACAGAAACAGGTTCATTACTAGTAGGTACTTACTTGTAGGTATTTATGGGTTTTAGTGAAAATATGTAGATTTATTTTTATTATTTTATCAATACTTACCCACATGTTACATAAAATATATACATCACAACACAGGGTAAGTAGAAGTGCAGAATATCTAATTTTTGCTTGATGCTTACTATTGTATTTATATGTGGCCTGACTAGGGGATTGAACCTAAGATCCTATCACCAGTGGAAAGTACGAATTGGTCTCTAATCGTTATCAAGTCAATCGGCTTATCATCTTGTTTACCTGCTGTGTTCACACAAAGATTGTTCTGTGTGAAAAGAGAACCTAAGGTGCGTTGCATATAGCGGTCAGTTCACGTGGCACATAGCCATCAAAGTAGTCAAGAGTCAATAATAAATATTAAAATTCATAGGTAATTATGGTGGCTAAAGAATTAGGCTCCTATAGTTTTTTTTAAATGACCTCGGTGTTAAGACGGTACTTTCGACTTACATTCAAACTTCCAGTCTGTCACCGGAAGTCAAGTCATTCCACAAACTGTCATACAATTAGTGCCACAATCTCGTACAAAAGAAATGTTAATTTACCAAATGTGGTTAAAAGTCACGCACGTATAGGGATAAAGCATTTAATGTAATGTGTGTTTTACTTTAAATTGTGTACCTACACGTTAATTTCTTTCATATCTGTTTAACCGACTTAACAGTTAAATGAAATGAGTCAGTTGCACCGACCGCCGTTATAATGAGATGGCATTAATTAAAGAAACACGTGGCATCATTTAAGTCCTTAGACAAACTATTTATTTTATCACATGAGATATCAGTCACGTCGCCGTCCCACTGACGAAAACTTGGTTTATATTAAACCGCTTTTATGGCCCTTTTAAATTGCTATAAGAAACAATTAAATAAGTAAGTAGTATTTTTAAATTGCCGTGAAAAGTGACACGTTCTCGAGTCTAATAAGTATGTAGTAGTTATATCTAAATTATAAGCAAATATTTTTCGTACCCGGTAGGCATCTAGCTGACAATATCTTATGTCGGGAGTGAAGACAATTACAGTTCTATTTACATTTACTTCTCATAGAAAAAGAAATATGTAATGACTTCATTATCTACATAGATAGACAACACCCGTTACAATAAAAATCTCCGTATTGTAATTTCCTTGGGCATATTGTCCCCATTAGAATACTTGCAAGAAACGTCCGCGAGACAGTTAGAACATCGACGTAATTACCGGCCCTGTTATTAGTGACAATCACATATTCCACTCGTATTGGTACCTTATTTGTATTGTACTGGTACACTACATTTCCCCAAAGAGACAATGGCACCAGTCGTCGACAGCTGCATCTAATTACATTTACCGATATTGTAATTACATCGTAATTTTACAGATTTTATTAGCGTATCGTTGTGACCTCGTCTCGTTTTGTGTTCTATAGATACCGTAAAAGTGTCAGTAGACCGTTATATTTTCACGGATGCGTCTCCGAAGGTGGAAATAAAAATGCAATGTTTATTTACTTACCCTACCTGGCTACCTCTTACATTGACCTGATTATAATGATAACAATCGAGCATGATATAAATTCATGTAGATGTATATGCATTATAAATATATTCATTAAATGTAACTTAAGCATCTAAGTAAATTTATACATGCGAGAACTATTTAATAGAGAGTTTTATATTATACGATGTCTTAAAATTCAGAGGTATTTTAGCAAGTAAGTAAACAGAACAATTACTAGTCTTCCTTTGTAACTTAAACAATCTTAATCTTGTCTAATTCATTAATTCCATTAACAATATCATATTTCCAACTTGTAGCTAGATACCAAATTACCTATACAATACATATATTAAACCTATAGTTGGTAATTTGTAAACAAAAACAAAACATGCGTTTGACCGATATTTTAAACTTGCACTTGACTTGTTTTTTATGTCACCTACAACCTAATGATAAATAACAACTTATAGTGCGTGCAGTCTTGGTACCTACTTAAGGCTTGAATGGCGAAATGTGCACGCAGAGCTGACGGCCACAGGCATTACATTAACCACCGTGCGCCGGCGCAGCAATCGCTGGGCGGCTCTGTCGCGGTGTAGCATTATGTCCCGCATGCTCCACATTCACCACAATTAGCGGGGAGGTTCCTCGATACCTCATACAGACAGCAAACTATATTGCCTCCTTACCTTCAAACGGCTTTTGATAGCGAGCCAGCTATCTAGTAAATAGACACTGTCAGGTAATTACACCTGAAACTGAAGTGAACAATACACCTTCCTGGCAAGATAGAGGCGCGTACTCATAAAGATATAATGCCAAATAAAACAAACAAGAGTCATTACGCGTCTTATTCCGGTGATCTAAATCACACAACGAGACAGCCATATAATTTGATGTTCGAAGCTACGCAACTGTTACAAATCTCATGAGCGAGTGACGTGGTCTGCGTAGACGCAGCCACCGTAGCGTTAAACGAACAAAACATTCCGCTAGATCGTCATTATTCAAATTTTCGCTGTACTAGTTGCCCGCTTGTTCCGGCCTCTGCTTTTTGTCCTATTTCGTACTAGTCTGAAATTACGATTAGTCCGGTCAAAATGAGATGCGGTCATCCGTGGTGGATGGCCGTGTGAACGGTCCGTTATCCAAACAGCTTGAGCGGTTAGTGGAGATGCTCATTGTCTTGAAGGTTCTGATGAAACGGAAGTGAGCACAGTTTGACAGTTTGTTTAAACTTGGAAGCATTAAAGCAGAAAATTGTTGGACATTTTTGGTCAAAACTGGACCAGCATCATGAACATCTAGTTATTTTAGTGGGAAGCCTACGGTTAAATTCAAATTGTTTTCAAACAGGTCGATAAGTAGGTAACATAAGTAGGCCACGTTAAGAAAATATTTAGATTCTATTACATTCAATAGAAATTAAAGATCAACGTTCTGAATTACATGAATAATCTTTCAGCGGCTTTGCCGCTGAACTATCACAAAGTCTTTGCCAGATGACATATTATTTATCTAGTAAAGACTTTGTGATAGTTCGAAAATAATCCTGATTACCAACATTAACGTCGCATCACCGTTGGAGTAGGCACTCGGTTTATTACTCCTCATCAAAAACATCTGCTAAATAAAACACAAGAAGAACAAAAATTGTAGCTTCAGAACACAAAGTAATAATCAGAATGGCACCGTGATAATTAGAAATAATTAAGTAGGCTTTAGCGATTTTACCGAAAAAAGCGGTTCGTTTGAAAAATTCAAGAAATCGATTTTTTACCTCAATCGTCTAGAAAATGTTTGTTGTTTTTTAACAGTTTAATGACACTTCGTAAGTACCTTTCCCTCATCTGCCGTTACTTAGCTTTTAAACAGCCAGATAATAAAGATATTGTTATTTTTTTCTCAAATGGTTTAACTATCCGTTCTCATCAATTCATTAGTTGGCATTAGCTAGTGATTTGCCAATTCAATGTTTGGATCCGACAAATAAGGAAAGATAAATCATTCAATTTCATTGTTCTATTACATTTCATGAATGCCGAGAAACGAAATCCTTAATCATTTTTGTGCGATTATTTCACTGAAAACTTTATATAAATCCTTCAAATGAAATCTTCTAATTTTTTTTTATTTTTATAAAACGTTGCCCCACACTAGTATTTTCTGCGTTTACAAACATACAATTTCACATACACACGATACCCAGACCCGGAACAACCATTTCTGGATCACACAAAGAGTTGGTCCGTGCGGGAATCAAACCCGCTACCCGTTGCACGGCAGCCAGTTGCCCAGTCACTGCACTAACCGTGCACTCAATTAACTTTGTGAATTTAGGAGACGCATAGAGCATTGTTCTCTTGGAGCTTCTGTGGTAAATCGTGATTACGAATGAAGGAATTACAGTAGTGGTAAAATTAGGACAAGTAAGAAACAAAAAATGTACATAGGTATATCTCGAGAACCTCTTGTTCGGCAGCCACACAAGACCCAACGAAGATTCAGAATGTTACGGTCAAGAGTAACATTATAACAAGTTAATAAGAACTGTACCTACCTACTTTCCTAATTCTTGAATGTTTTACACGGAATTCCATGCTGACCGTTTCAACTACTAGCGTTATAAAATATGCGGTTTTACTGATTTCCATGTACCTATATGTAAGAATATTACCGCAGTCAGTTATATAACGGGTCTACATACTGTTGAGATCAATTTCGGTGCATTGGCTGATGATTTTTTAGAATGACAGGTGTCATTGTAGCATGCGGAAGAGGGACCATAGATCATAGAATTGGATTCGCATCACACGTCAAGTAATGGCGGCAAAAACGGCGGCAAGCTCGCGTGCCGTGCGTTTTCCGGCGCTGTTGTTATTGTCACATCATATCGTAACTATTTACTGCACAAATTCCTTTACATCATTGCAATCGCTTTAAGCTGCATTATTTGTTTAATGGTTGTTTTCTTTGAAGCCTCTAGTGACTAGTCAGTTGGTTGGTTTTGTAATATAAATGTGTGATAATAAATTAAAATGAGGTAAACGTCCTTTGAATAAAATAGTAATTACCTATAGACTGCTAATCAAAGAGATTAGTGAAGACTTATCATTTCTCGCTCGACCGCTTTTTGTAATTACCAGTCTTGTTTAATTGCAATTTACGAAGCATAAGTCTCAGTCTAAACTGAAACTTATGAGCTAAAAGATACAATAAATTCTTAATATTACTACTGCACGCCGCTCACTCTCATGGGAGAGGTGCGGGTGCTCTTACAGTAACAGACTCAAAACTTTTACCAGTTATGTATACTAAAGCATACCATTTTTACATACAAAATTATTGGTGGAAGATCGTCTTTATTTTTGATCCTTAAAATGTACTAAGTACGACGTCTTGCATTCGGAGAAGGCTGGATATTCGCGACAGTATATTCCACCTCCATCTCCATACTCCATGGTCATTCAATCTAGTCGTGTATTCGTATCTAATCTCCGTTCCATGGAATCATGGGAAAGAGCGTGTGAGTGCATTTGAATACCTCCAGCACAAAGCATTAATTTAAGCAAATTTGGATGACCGCCATTATCGTATTTCTCAATTACTTACTATCAATTCTTCAATCCTACATAAATTTTCTTAAGCACTTTGTGCACCTTTTCCTCCAAAGATTTAACATTTTTTTTTATTTACTATCTTCAACGCTTCCGCAAGTTGCGGGCTTACGGGGCTCACGGTCAATTTGTTTGCAAAATCCCTGCGCACACAAGTCTTATATCAAAACGTAATTCAAGTGTAAGAAAGCGCGTCAGTCAAGCGCATACGGTATATGTAAACACAATCGGTGGAGGTTGACAGGCGATGCGTGTGCGCAGGCTGACTACTAAATTGACTCTCTGTCGCTGCGTCACCGCGTCACCGCGTCAAAGCCACGTTTCCGTGACGTTAGCATAAAGGACACAAACATGTCCAGTGACAGGCTGTGTTGAAATGGAAAGCCTTTCAGTTGTTCGTCTTCCTCAGTCGTCGTTGAATTTTCTACGTTATTGTATGTATTTGCTTCACAAGTATTCCAGGTTACGTTTTGAAGAGGAATAAAGCTACCTTTTAAATGAGTTATTATGGAGTAAGTAGCAGCTACTTTAATCACAAATGAAGTAGAATAAGTAGGTAGTGACAATAGATAGTAATTAAAATGAGTTACCTAACACAACAAACCTCAATAAAATGTTCATTTTATTACATGGAACAGTTATTTTAACTTTCCATAGGGGATCTTATCATTCAGCAGTTTGATAATGCAGCATGCTTATTTGTCAATAAATTCATGAGTAAAAAAGGAAAATAAACTTTTAATTATATTTATAAAATTGTTGGTTCACTACACTGGTTTTTATTGCCGTGGGCATAAGGCTAAGTTACTGTAACCACGGCTAATGCACTTCTTGTTAAACAAGCAAAAACTTGCGCTTGCGTCGACGCGCCGCCGCCGCCACGAAGGGAATCGACCCATTAGACAAACTATCAATAGGAGGCGTTACTAAATAGAAAAACCTCTGTATCAAAATGAAACATTGAATTATAGTTTATTCTTTACCTTTTTTTTCTACTAAGTGGTGGTAATGATTGTTTAAAATATTGTCAGTGGTGTTATTAACTTATCTGAACTAACACATGATAACTTGAAGCCCTCTTAGAAGTATAACGCTACAGTATGTACTTTTAAGTTTGGAAAAATATTGGGGAAGTAGTAGTCGCAGGTATGTCACTTTTCATATACCCAAATTTAAAAAAAATTAGTTAATGATATGACCGAAATTTTGCAACGCTTTTAAATGTTGATACCCTGGTATACAAAGCCTAAACATAAAGCATAAGCCTACTTTACCTAAATAATACGTATAGATACGTGGAATGATAAAGCAGGAGTTTGCCTATTCCAAATGTACCTACAATGTTTGAATGTGAACTGTAGCATCCTCAGCTACGGTTTAGTTGAGCACTTAATGAACGATTCCGACGTAAAAATGACGAAAACCGTTCCGTATATTGCACCGCATCTGTTGATCATTAGGACCATTCAGCCGTTTGTTTACTTAGTGCTATAACTGAAACTACTCACAACGAAAGCACTACCATTCATTCAACCAGTTGGCCAAAGTCTCATAGATAGTTTTTGCAAAGTGAGTCATATGGGCATATGACTCAGGGCATATTATATTTATTCAATACAAATTCAATTGAATCTTTATCGAGTTCCTAAGTATTTGAATTAAAACAATATCAGTGTACTCATCTTCGACTTTGATTGACTTTCTATTGCGATTCAATTTTATATTGTACAGATAGCCTCTGTGGCCACCGAGGCTCTCGGTCAGATATAAAGCTATTTAGCTATCTTATCAAGAGATCATCTGCAGCAACCAGAATCATCCACTGAGATAGCGACCCAAACATAACATCGATGACCTGATACAGGCCGCCATGCCGCAGCACCGAAATGCCACTCAATCATTAGCAGGTACGGCACAATTTCTCCACGCGAATGTCACGGCAATGAACGCGTCGCGGCGCTCGACGGAGCCCAATTCTCCCAATAATCCGACGCCAATCAACTATATAGATCACGAGATTGTTCGCGGCGGTTCGGTGATCGTGTCGTGAGAACGATAAGACACAGGCGAGCAGGTGGTTCCCTCCCCGGCCATGGCTAACTGTTCCACCATCATCAACGGAGCGAGCCGACCGCGCCACCGCGCAGTCCCGAGACACCGGCGCACCACGCCTGCCGCACTCGACTCTCCACACCACCACCGCTACCGAATTGTTTGCAAGTTGCGCGGGAAAAGCTACCGGCGACGCTTGTCTTGCGCTTTCGGACTTACGCAGTGGCAGTGAAGATACTACAATATCTGACGCATTCCTAAATAGTGATTTTTGTTTAATTGGATAACTAATCCGAATTGTTGGGCGTATTTTTTATTTGTACGAGTAAGGTAATCGGGGCAGATAGCATTAACGGTTGGCTCCGCGCTCGAGTGTGGCAGACCGCAAGCATGACGAGCGCCGGCAACTGCGCTCTCGTGCTCCTCCTACTGGTATGTTAAACCTCTTCAAATAGTCACTTATCTTTCCCCTAATTATTTGTCTGTCATTGGATGTATGTCAAGAAAACAATATTTCATCATGAATACGACAGTTAGGATAGATGTAAGTGTTTAGGCCTAGAATGTGCAGATGGGACCATTAGGTAGATACATAAGCAATTGAATACTTCTTCCATTTAGTTTAGCTATAAATCGTACTGGTTGCTCGCGGTGTACTAAAATCTGAATGTTTCGTCCCCATTCTAGAGTATTGAAGACAAGTTTATATTCGAATCCGGTTTGCTTGTGGAGTATAATCATAAACACAGTGTTTGTAATAAGCTCTAAGCTATCTACACAAGTGAACACTGCCTACTGACCCACATTAGGAACGCTTACTTTGTCTCGCTAACTCGCTCTACAAAGTTGGTAACTTAATTAAAAGTTTAAGTATACTGCTTACATTACACCAAATAATTCTTTTGTTTCACACGTTTAGTGGGTTAACAGTGCTAGATAATATCTTGATACGAATTTTTAAACATATACGTACCTACTGAGTATAAATACATAATGGAAAGGTATAAAGAGAAGATCAAACTGATATCATTAAATGTCTAGTTCATTAAAGTACCTGTGTGCTTAATTAACATGTATTAAGCTCTATAGAACTTTGTTAGGAGTAAATTAATCTACAGTACTACGTAGTATCAGAAACAGCTGGTATTGAGTTTATGATCAAACGAAAGCTTATATATAGTTTATTGTTTGTAAGAAACAGTCAAGTACAAGTTAATTAATTCTAGTTTATGTTGTAAAATATCAATTTCTAACATCAAAGACGATAAAACTTCTGGCATAGACACTTTGAAAGTGGATGTTTGTGAAGATATATAGTATCCATATATGTATGATTGTATGTAGTATATAATCTAGGTACTCAGTAGATATTAGGTAAGTTTAGTATTTTTTTTACTAGGAAATTTTCGACAACTTATTAACCTGCCTCGTTAATTGTGTATTAAGTATTTTTGGGATTGAACCTCAAAATATATGGTAGGTACCTACATACGTATTCAGTTTATTTTTTTGGTTGACGAAGGTCCTACGGTGCCTGGCGTAACCAGAGTCTGAAACTGAAAACTAAAAATGTACCTATACGTTACTAACATATACTCGCGGCCATCTACAGAATCTGGGTTTAGGTTCTGTAAAAATACATGTCATCCGCAGAGAACTTAACGGGTTACCGGGGCTCCGGCTCGATGTGCAGGAGTAGGAACGGGTTGGTTTTTAGTCAGTAAGAGTCTGACATTCCCTCCCGCCTCACCGAGGCGGGAGAATTCATTCGACGAATTTCCAGCAAATGGCAAACAATAAAATGACCAAATAATTCTTGTTTATTTTCGTAGCCAATATGGAACTTAAATTCAATCTTCAGTCGCAAATTGTATCGATTCACAAGAAATATTATTATCTGGAAATACTTAAGTACAGAGCAGTATGAATTTCTGATGAAACACCATATAAATCCCATTATAGAAATTACCCATAAATTCGGTGTTCACTGGTTCTGACTTTCACACGAATGATTCAGAAATTGAGCTCCTGTTCTCAAAGCATCGTGCACGCTCCACTTTTTTTTCTTTAATTTACCTGCGTAGCAATTTCCTTACAATATTATTCACACTATTATTATGCTAGTGGATTGTTTTTATACGGAGAAACAATCTGCTGAGCTTCAGTACAAGCTATTGATCGGCGAAGGCCGAGGTTCGCACATTTCTTTAACGAGTCGGCTTCATAATACTTTCGATTAAGTAGGCAGGTATCTTATGCGTTATGATCTTGATCATCAAGTAATGTATTACCCAAATAAGCAACCACTTTACCATACTTAATTAAATAATGTTCGTGTACCTAGTACCTCAGTTATGTAGGTTTTTCAAATATAGACTTTTTCTGTTTTCTCATACTAATTACGGAACATTGTCATTTCCGTCATCAGAATCTTCTAGATCTATTCAGACCAAAGTAAACATTTGGAAACAAAACCAATACGATGTGGAAACCAGTAAAATGCGAATTTTCTTCAGCAAAACGCTTGTAAAGAATCAAGTTCATCGTTCTACTAAAACAAGCTTTCATTTTAATCCGTATAAAATGGTATCGTAAATAGTTGCTCCATGAAATGTCTATAGTTTGAGATTCTTTACGCCGCTATTACCGGTGTATCAAACTAGTAAACGGCCTACTTGAAAGGTTACAAAGGTCTTTGTATTTTGAAAGACATGTTACCTAATTTAAAAAAAGAAAATACGTTTCCCCACACTAGCATTTTCTCCTGTGTCGTGGGTGCGTTTACAAACATACAAGTCCACATATACATGACACCCAGAACAACAATTTGAGGATCACAAAAAGAGTTGCTCCGTGCGGCAATCGAACCGCGACACGTTGCGTGGCAGCCGGTTACCAAGCCACCGCACTAACCGTGTTATCATTGCAAAACTAGATAAAATTAATATTAAAGAATTATCACTCTCTACATACCTACATTAATTTTCGGAACATTATCCTACTAATCACTACATAGTCGCTATCAGCCGTCTGTCTGTCCTTATGTATGCTTAGATCTTTAAAACTAGGCAACGGTTTTTGATACGGTTATTTTTTATTAGATAGAGTGATTTTTAAGGAAAGTTTATATGTATAATACATGCATATTGCACCCGTGCGAAGCCGGGGCACCCACCCACTAGTATTATAAAAAGTTTGTATGTTTGTTTATTACTCCTCCACGTTAAAACGGCTGAAGGGATCGAAATGAAATTTGGAACAGGGGGGAACTGGAATAACTCGTGGGCCACGATAAAGACTTTACACCTATAAACCTATACATAACCACCTTTCCTTTGTCTTTGTTTGTTTTTTTTATAATATAACTGCCTCATTGGCCGAGTGGTCGCAAGTGCGACTGCCGGGCAAGGGGTCTCTGGTTCGATTCCCGGGTCGGGCAAAGTATTACTGAGGTTTTAGAAATCTCAATAGTAGCACGGAGGCTGGAAATGTGCCCGGTATATCGGAATAAGCTCACCTCCTATTACATGGGACTCATAACATAAATAGTGAAATTGTGAAAAGTGGTTGTTACATTATACAGTGGCATTAAATGCCGAAATGTGCACCTCTGCCTACCCCTTCGGGGATAAAAAGGCGTGATGTTATGTTATGTTTACAGGGTGTAAAACCTCTAAAAATGTTAAGATTTTTTATAATAAAACCATGAATAGATATCTATTGTGAAATTTAATTTGCTATGTATCTCTAGTTTGGAAAGCCTGAAAGGCTGTTACGCTTCAAATTGATTCGAATTAAAAACTGGGCCATTACGTGATGTCCTCAAAACTCTCGAATGAAAGTGGATTTTTGTTTTATTTTTAAATTGTTTTTCTTCGTTCTAAGCTTGATGAGTAATTTTAGTATTTATATCTGATTTCTTTGTTTGTGCGGATGTTACGAATAATACTTACGTACTCTGTATACGTAATTGTTAAAGCTGTGGTTAACTATTTGTTTTTTTTATCCCAATATTTCTCGCCACTCCAATAAAGAGAAAAAAAAACTATTTGTTTCACATTATGATATTTTACAGTTTCAATAAAATAGATATAAAAGGAATTTTTAATAACACAAACTGACATCACGCCTTTTATGCCCGAAGGGGTAGACAGAGGTGCACGCAAGACACAGTGTATTTTCTATTGTGTCTCGTATACTTATCTACAGGCATTCAAGCGGTTAATGCCACTGTACAAGTAACGCTGACTTTTCACTATTTATGTTATGAGTCCCGTGTAATATGTAGGTGGTAAGCCTATTGCCATATACCGGCCATATTCCAGACTCCGTGCTACTACTAAGATTTTTTTTTTAAAACCCAATAGTACTTAGGTACTTCGCCCTGCCCGGGAATCGAACCCGACCCCTGTGCTCGGCAGTCGCACTTGCGACCACTCGGCCAATATTCAAGTTAAGTGTCAGTTGAAATAGCAAATTAGGTAGGTACTGGTTTTAGCGGTTTAATACTTATTTCACGTATTAATAAGTTTAGCAGTAAGAGTAGCAGCGGAAGACTGCCTCGTTGGCCGAGTGGTTGCAAATGCGGCTGCCGGGCAAGGGGTCTCGGGTTCGATTCCCGGGTCGGGCAAAATATAACTGGGTTTTGAAAAAATTCTCAGTAGTAGCACGGATTCTTGAATTGTGCCCGGTATATGGCAATAGGCTCACCTCCTATTACATGGGACTCATAACATCTATAGTGAAATGTGGGTGGCATAATGTGCACCTCTGCCTACCCCTTCGGGGATAAAAGGCGTGATGTTATGTTATGTTAAGTTTATCAGTCCGTCTCCTAATTTAGTAACGTTTAAAGCCTTCTATGTAGGTACAGACAGGTAAAGAAAAAAATTTACGAAAAGCAAAGTTTTGCAATAAAATACAATCCACCGCCAGATAACATCACTAATCAATTTCAGCCAGCAAATATATACCTAAATAGGTAAGTACTTACAAAAAACAAAAGAACATCAACAAGTAGGCTCTTCCCACGGAGTCAAACCAAATTGCTAAGCAATAAAAATAGATAACAATTTCGCGAAAGCAAGAGTTGGTAATAGAAAAAAGGAAAGTAAAATTAGAACAGATTATTGAGCCAGAAAAAAGTAGATTATTTTTCTTTTGCAAAATCTTATCTTAATCATTAAGTAGTTTATTCGCTTGTAAACTTTTTGTTTAAGTAGTCTGAAAAACTAGATAGACTTCATTACAATTTAAAATTGGACTAATGGTGTTAATTTAAATTAATGCAGGCTGTTCCGTATTAATTTCTAGCATTCTGCGTGCATCTCATTCTTGTACATAGGAGTAGGTGTTTAATGAAATCTCTACCTAATTATTTTATTAAGTTTGCGGACACTGTCGTATTCATCTAGAATTTCAACAAGATTCTC